GTCTCTGGCATCCTCCTCTAATGAGGGAACGTGGGTGGTTAGGGAGCGGACCCTGGCTTTAGCTTTAGCTAAGAGGAAGAGTTGAATGGCAGGCAAAGGGCATAGCCAACTGCACTATCATAGAGGCCCTAACCAGTGGTCCCAGTTCCAACATCTTCACATGTCGGTTCAGGACGCACTGCAGTCAGGTGGTTCCCAGTCCCAATGTCTTCACATGTCAGTTCAGGAGATGCCAAAGGCAGAGTGATTGCGATTTGCCTCTCTGTTGTTTGAGACATTTGGGATTTGGTGCAGACTCTGAGATCCTCGACTGGGCAAAAGAATTCATTGCCCTGTCATGTGAGACAGGAGGAATAATTGTCTTTTCTTTATATGAGGAGGTTTGTTTTTGGCTGGCCTGTATACCCAGAGCTGGTCAGGCCTGTGCAAGCAGAGGCAGAAGGGGCAGACTCTGGCAGGTCTCATTTCCTATGCATCCTAGCAACTTCTGGGTGGGATGGTGCGCCACTCGAGGTATCCTGGCAGGCAAATATATTGTAAATTTAAGCCAGCTTACTGAAGCATTCAATCTTTTATAGTCAACTTTTAAAATATACCTGGGTTCAACTATTATTTTATGTCTCGCCACCTCGACCAGCAAGGAAGACCCAATGCCCAGACTCTTCTTTAAGCAGTTTATTCAGGGACCTTGAACAATCTTCTTCTCCCGGGGAGCACCAGGGAGCCCCAATCCACAGCTTAAAAGCCCTTGGGCGGCCAACCCCAGTATGCCACGTGGAACATGCAGATAGGTCCACGTACTCGGAAGCAAGCCTGATATCCAGCCTTAACCAAATACAGGTGTTGTTTATCATAGAGAGCACCTGCTGTCGGGCTAGCAGAAGGCAGAAGCCAGCGCCATCTTAAGGGTGTGGCACTTCACAGCTCTCTACAATTTTACATTAAGCAAACTTTAAGTTTATTTTAAACTTGTTTTGTTTATTCACTTGGATTAATTATTATTTTTTTTTTGGTTTTTATGAGACAGGGTTTCTCTGTATACTTGGATTAATTTTGACAACATATGCAGAATACTACATGATGGGAGATAACAGAAGACTATATGATGCAAGATAAAAATTGTTCTCTCCCTCCAAGTTTCTCTCTGTACATAAGTTAATGTCTCTGTAAATAAAGTACTTAGCATGACTGACCATTAGCTTGTATATCTTTATTGTTTTAATAGTTTACTATCAGTTTGTAGCTCTTTTATAAGATTAGAATTTCATAATTTTATTCCTGTTAAGTTTAAGCCTTAAAAATTATAATTCTTGAATTGAAGATCCTTTTGTATCGAAATAAACTTTAAATCATAAATACAGTTCACAGAGAGAGTAGGAACATCATTTTTCCTGATCCTTTTATAGTACTCTTTTAAAAAATGCAGTTTTTTATATGACTCAGTTTCACCAAATAGGTAAAACTTAACAAAATTAGTAACGACATTGAATGAACAGAAGAAATAAAAAGGAAAGGAAAGGAAAGGAAAGGACATGAGCCCTCCTAGGTGTGGGGGAGGAGAAAGTCTATTGTAGATGTGTGGGCGAGCATAGTCAGAGGCGGGGATATCTGGGAGAGTCCAGAGTGGGCATGACCAGGCTGAGCTGGGCCATGTGGGAGAGGGGGAGGGGAAGGGAGAGGTGAGAGAGGGAACCAGGCGCAGCAGCCTGAATGACAAAGGTTCAAAAGGAGCGGGTAATCAACATGTTTGGACTGTATCAGGAAAAGTCTTTGGGGGAGGGCAGCCCAGCCCCTGGAATGGAGAGCTCAGGATAGAGGGCAGGGATGCCAGTCATACCCTGGAGCAGGTAGGGACTGAGGGATGTTGGGAGAACATGGAGGCCAGGTCCACTTTGATATGTTAAAGAGTCACCTCAGCCATTTGTCCTGGGTTTGAAACTTAACAGACATAAGCAGTTAGACATACATCTTTAAGTCAATTTCTGTTAGCTTGAATAGACCATTATCAAACATTTGCTGCATAAACCTTGTTCATGGTGTTATTTTTCATTCTGAGGACAAAAATTATCATACAAAAATTCATCTTAATCCAAAACATCTTGGAGATCTGCTGTTGCCTCCTTATCGTAGGAAGAATGAAAGAAACCATGGCAGAGGCCAAGTGTTGCCTCGTTAGTCTAATAAAAGGGGGACACAATGGGAGAGAAGGCTCAGTGGCTCTAATTGTTTAATGGATGCTGCCTTATGTTTATACCACACGGTCACCTTAACCAACATGGAGGTGAAGTCACGTGCCATGCCCTTCCTTTAACCTTACTTTCTAGACATGACTGCCAAGACGGAGGCAAGCCGCCTGGTTGTTATTGACTTTTGCCGAAGTGAACCCATCAGGAACACATCCTTTTTTATTAAAGATTCTAAAAGTAACTTTTTATTTGGAATTTTACAGCCATTTAAAACCACACGTACAGGTTTTGATATAATACGTATTTTTAGAATGATAAAGATACAGGCAGGAATTTTAGGCTTGGTGAAGCAGAAGGGTACAGCTAGGCCAAATGCGAAAGGCAGAAGTGCTCTGTGTTACGTATGTTAAAGAGTTGGGAGTTGTAAAGATGCAGGCTTGTTCTGTGTTATGTATGTTAAAGAGTTGGGAGTTGTAAAGGTACAGGCTTGTTCTGTGTTATGTATGTTAAAGAGTTGGGAGTTGTAAAGGTACAGGCTGGGAGGCCCAGCCCCCTGGCTCTGAGTGTGCTTGTAAGTCAGACCCTTGAAAGAGATTTACATGAGCCGGGAGTCTTATGGGGAAGGCGACCTGGGATCATGCTGCAACTCTGTCTTATGGAGTTATTTAAATCGGTTTATCTATTAAAATCAAAAGCTTCGAATTTAGGCCAGTGGTGGACATTTGTCCAATGTATATTGAGGCCAATTTTATATTGAAAGGCAAAGGAGAGTTGCTGATTTTTTTTTTTTTTGTGGTTTTTCGAGACAGGGTTTCTCTGTGGCTTTGGAGGCTGTCCTGGAACTCGCTTGGTAGTCCAGGCTGGTCTCGAACTCACAGAGATCCGCCTGCCTCTGCCTCCCGAGTGCTGGGATTAAAGGCGTGCGCCACCAACACCCGGCGAGTTGCCGATTTTAATCGTACAGGAAGTCTGGAGCTGATGAGAGAAAAAAGCAAAAACATAGGTCGAATCCAGCCTCTTGAAGCATGCCCTCTGCGCACCCCAAGTCTTGGATTCAGTCTAACAGGCCTGGGAAGTAGAAGGGTGCATCTCTGCCCCCACAAATTCCAGCTCTAAAGATGGCAGAGCCAGTGGAAAATTCCAGGAATTCTCAGCCAGTCTCAGCCAGTGGAAAGCTCTTGGAATCTCTGACCCAGTGAGTCTCAGTACAGATGGAACCTGGTAAACTCCAGACCGTATTGTGTCACCTCCTAGTTAGGTCTAATGGATTACCTTGTCTTGGTGGTTTGCTACGTTGTATGCATGTTCTGGCTGAATGCAGGTGGGACCATGTTTACTTGGAGTGAAGGACATCTTTGTCACCCATGTGTGAGGATGGCCAAAATGCCTCAGGGTTTTTTTTGGGGTGGTCTCAAACTCAGAAATTCACCTGCCTGTGACTCCTGAGTGTTGGGATTAAAGGCAGTTCAGATTTACCTTTTATAATATCAGCATGAGGGCATCAGCAGAATATAACACATGCATATACATATATAGTCACAAATATACACACATATGTAGATATACATAAACACACACATATAGACACACATACACATGGAGACATAAGTATTTATGCACACACATTCACATATGGAATACACAAACACATGTGCAATACACATGTGCACACACATAGACATATACATTCTTATGCACACACATGCACTCACTCATAAGCAAATAGACTATATGCATATACATCTATATGTATACACATATGTATATACACAGATACATATCCACACACATACTCATATGTTTGGCTCAGCTTACTTATGAGGCCTTGACTTGAGGAAAAAAATGTTGTAATTCATGCAGTTTATGAAACAGACCAAGAAAAATCACTAAATAAGTAGTTGTCATGGAAACATAGCAAATCTGTAAGCTACCAGGCCACATGCATAAGCAGCCTGTATACAAATTACACAGGCTTTGCTCTAAATACAACACGATTGCAATTCAAGGTGAAACTGAATCAGATGCAAGGCTGCTGTGTAACATTTCAAGGATTCCCCTCGATTTTAATATTTTCTTGTCATTTATGAATGTTCTCTTAATCATTCTTCCGCTTTCTTTTTCCCAGCCAGGTAGTCAAATGCCGAGTGTGTTCACAGGACAGCCCAGTGCCTCAAGCAGAGAAGATGCTCTGTGAATGTGGACGATGGAGTTGGTGTGCTACTCAGCTTCCTAGCAGACGCACGTTGTCTGTGTTGTAGATGGTCCTTAAGGATGAGCAAGACAAGCTGTGGCCACAGCTAACATGAGGATGGCGGAGGGTGGGGGCGGGGGTGGGGGGGAGCTGGTAACGGGCAAGAAAATGAATGTAGCTTCTTTATCAGTGATTTAACAACAACCGTCCACATATAAGGGAACACATACCATATTTGTCTTTCTGGATCTGGGTTACTTCATTCGGGATGATTTTTTTTAAGTGCCATCCATTTACCTGCGAGTTTTTTTATTATTTTAAAATTTAAATTAGAAACAAGGTTGCTTCACATGTCAAACCCAGGTCCCTCTCCCTTTCCCTCCCCTCCTCCCATGCCCTCCCAACAACTCCCCCCAATACCCCTTCCTTTCCCCAGGGAGGGTGAGGCCCTCGGGGGTGTCCATAGTCTGTCATTTCATCCAGGGCAGGGTCTAGACTCTCCCCCCGAGTCCAGGGTGAGAGTGCATTGTGGGATGGGCACCCAAAGTCCATTTGTATGCCAGGGATAATCTTTTGAGAATTTTCTGCTTAGATATGTACCTCATTTTTAAATTGGGTTATTTGTTTTCTTGGTGTTCATTTTTGAGTTCTTATGTATTTTTGAGATTAGCCATCTATCGGAGTTGTAAAATCTTGTTTGTGAACATCTTTTCCCATTCTGTAGGCTGCCACTTTGTCCCAATGATGGTATCCTTTTCAGTGTAGAAGCTTTTCCATTTCATGAGGTCCCATGTATTAATTGTTGATCTCAGTGACTTGCTGTAGGTGCTGTGTTCAGAAAGTCTCCTGTGCCAATGAGTTCACGGTCATTCCCCACTTTCCCTCCTATCAGGTTCAGTGTATCCAGTTATACAGTGAGGTTCTGCTCAACTGGAGTTGCGTTTTGTGCAGGGTGGTAAGTATGGATCCATTTGCATTCTTCTGCATGCAGCCTTTCAGTTTGGTCAGACCATTTGTTGAAGATACTGTCTTTTTTCCAGTGTGTATTTCTTGCTTCTTTATCAAAAAGTAAGGTATCCATAGGTGTGGAGACCTATTTCTGGGTTCTGAATTCTATTCCATTGACCAGCCTGTCTGTTTTGGTGCAAATACCATGGTGTTTCTATTACTATAGCTCTGTAGTGCAGTTCTTTTTTGGCTCAGGATTGTTTTAGCTATCCTGGTTTTTTTGTGTTTCCATATGAAGCTGAAAATGATCTTTTCAAGTTGTGTTGGGATTTTGATAGGGATTACACTGAATCTGCAGATTCCTTTTGGCAGGAAAACCATTTTTACTATGATAATCCTACTGATCCATGAGCATGGGAGATCTTTCCATCTTCTGATATAGTCAGTTTCTTTCTTCAGAGTGTTAACTTTATTATATAGTTCTTTCACCTGCTTGATTAGGACTACCCAAAGATATTTTATATTTTTGAGGCTACTATGTGAGGCTATTTCTTGGTCTGTTGGTCATTTGTATATAGAAGGCTACTGATATTTTTGTGTTAATTTAGTTTCCTTCTACTTTGCTGAAAGTGTTGCTGTAGGAGTTTCCTGGTGGAATCTGTAGGGTCAGTTGTATACACTATCGTATCATCTGCTTCTTCCCTTCCTATTTGTATCCCCTTGTTCTCCTTCAGTTGTCTTATTGCTCCAGCTAAGACATCAAGTACTATATTAAATAGGCTTGGAGAGGGTGAACAGCCTTGTCTTAGTCCTGACTTTAGTGATATGGCTTTGAGTTTCTCTCCATGTAAGTTGGTGCTGGCTATGCTTACTGCAAACTGCCTTTATTGTGTTGAGGTATGCCCCTTGTGTCCCTTCTCTTGCTTGGGAAGTTTTTGTTTGAATTTTCATATACCATACTCCCATGAACATTCACACACATGCTTTTAATGTTTGACTGATGTTTTCATTTCTTTTAGAAAAGTTGACAGGAGTGGCATTGCTGTATCATACAGTATTCTTACTTGACTTTTTTTTTCAGAGACTGCTAAACCTTTTTCTCAAATAATCTATATCATTTTAATTTCCTACTGTGAATCCATGGAGGTTCCCATTTAATCTCATCTTTGTCGACACAAGGTATTGTCTGTCTTTTTGGTTAATGCCATTCTGAGAATGGAAACGAGTCACGCCAAGGATGCTGGGAAAAGGTAGTTGGATATTTATTCAGATAGAGAAAAGTAACTTACATAAGAAGCTGAGAACCGGGTCAGCGCTCTATGGTCTCCGAGCCTTGGCCAGAATCCAAGAGAGAGGGGTCTCCTCTTGTACCTTCCTTTATCCTGGTTTTCTCCCACGTTGGGCGTGGCCATTGCTGCAGCTACATGATCTCTCCCTACACCATTCTGTCTGATGTCATGCATCTCATTGTGATTTTGCTGTGCATTGTACCAATGATCAATTATCTTGAGCATCTTTTCATATTCTAACCTCTGTTTCTGTAGTTTCTAAACTATGTTTTAATGGGCATGAAGTTGGACAGAGTCAAAGTTTGGAAGAATTTGAAGGGAGTTTGAGGACGAAATAGAAGTTGACTATGATCAGATTTCATTGACATACATGTATGAAATTCTCAAGAATAAGGAAGTTGTTTTGTTATTGCTGCTCTGTAAGAATTTTTACCTGTGTTCTGGTTGCAGATTGTCTGTCGGATGTATGACTTGTAAATGATGTCTTTCGGTCTGTGCCTCATCTTCTCATTCTCTTAATGCCTCTGGGATGTTGGGGATTAGACCCGGGGTCTCAGATGTCTTAGACAAGTGTTCCACTACTGAGCTATACCCCGCTTTATTTTTACTTTTCATTTTAAGACAGGATCTCACTAGGTTTCACAAATTGACCTGGAATTCATTCTGTAACCCAAGCTGTCCTTAAACTTTCCTGCCTCAGCTACCCAAGTAGTTAGAATTATAGGCTTGACTCACCAGGCCTGGCTTAATAATGTCTTTTGAAGATTTTAATTTTAATAAAATCCAATTATTTGTCTTATCTATCACATATTCGATATCAAAATCTTTGTATTATGTCAAAAATAATTTGTATACAGTATCTGATATTAAACTATGCACATGTATTACATAAGTGCAACATTTAACATTACATCAAATATGTTTTATGAGGAAATTTTGTGCCAAAGTTTTCTTCATTACCCCATCTGATCTACTTTGTACTTTGAGTAAAATTAGAAGTAGCACCCTGTCATAATTTTAAGGTTTTCAGAGCTTCTGTATAAGAAATGCATCTCCTACCCCTTAGTACAAGGTACTAAATAGAGCGCTCGGGACAGTGTGTTCGCAGGCAACACCCCTTAAACAAGGCTTTATTGAGTTCTATTAGTTGAGCAAACAAAACTCGGCAGAGGCTCTTCTGCCTGCCTTTTGGTTTCCTTCCTGTACTGTTTCCTGCTTGTGTTTTTGACATTTTCTTTTGTGCACGGAGTGTTTTGTCTTGTGTTTTTCCTGCATCTGCTGGAGCTGTCACTGTGTGGACAGGATGCTCTCACATCCCTGGACAAATGGTCCCCCAAAGGGTGTCTTGATGGCTGCCTTTTCATCCGCCATGGAAGCAGCACACTGCCCTTTGCAGAGCAGCACACGCGTCGCATCATCAGTGTGGCGCCTCACCACGCTTCTGAGTGCAGCATTAGCCAGTGCTTAGCACACCGAGAAAGTCAGGTTCTAGAAATAAATAGAACCGTGATGCGGGTGTGCGAAGTCCCTTTGCCTGTGGAGAGGCACATGCGGGGGGTAGGGGGGCAAGGGCTCAATTCTGAATGCCAAATCTAAGAGGCACCTCGAAGAGGCACCTGCTTGAATCTGCCACCAGCACACAACAGCGGGAAACATCAACCGACAACTACATGCTGGGTGGTGTCTGGGCAAGAGAAGAGGGAGAAGTGTAGATCTGAGTTGATGACAGCAGAGCAGAGAGGTGCTGGGTAGAGAGCATCCTGGCACCGTAAATCGCAGTGATCTGAGGAGAGGGTCTCCACATCACTTGGAGTAGGGATCCGTCATCTTCTGAGATGAAGGGATGAGGGGGAAGGAATTTCAGCTGCTATAGATAAATGCTTTGGATGCATGGAGTAAAAACCAGGAACATGCCATGACTGATGAAATCTATTTTCTATCATGAGAGAGTGCATGATGTCATCTGTAGAGTGTAACGAGGGAATTAGAATCAGGCTGTTCTGGAATTATGAGTGAAGTGTGGAGGAAGGCTGGAGGTGGAGGCTGTAGACAATGGAGGATTCCCTAAAGACCTGGTGATGAACATTAACGGAAGGATTCATAGAATGTGAAGGCTGCTTGGCTTTCTCCTGCCCCTCCAGAGCAAGGGTTAGAAGGAAGGCTGACAAGGCAGTGCTGGTTGGAGTGGGACTTAGACGCTGGCACTCTTTTTTTTTTTTTTTCGAGACAGGGTTTCTCTATAGCTTTGGAGGCTGTCCTGGAACTCACTTTGTAGACCAGGCTGGCCTCGAACTCACAGAGATCCGCCTGCCTCTGCCTCCCGAGTGCTGGGATTAAAGGCGTGTGCCACCAAGCTGCTCAGGGAACTTACATGAACACAGCTTTGGGAAATATTGGGCTCATATGTTAGGCCAGTAGTTTTCAAAGGATGCTCCCCAAGTTAGCTGCATCAGCATGACCTAGACAGATGTGCTCCAGCTCCATCCAAGCCAACTAAGTTAGAAGTTCTAGAAGTGGGTTTCAGCTGGCTTCGTTAAAGCTTGGCAGTCACCGAATGGGAGCAAAAGAAAGGCTTACGGTTCTGGTGACTGTGGGAGCAGACATAGTGGAGTCTGGGAGGACTTGTAATCACTAACAGGCTTCTGTAAATTAGAGCTAACTGTCTTCTGAGCCTCAGATGGGTCAAGGAAATAAAGGCCAGTTGGTGTGCTGGATGGCCGCCTACAAGTATGTGTAAATATTCCAGGAATGTAGCAGGGTTTGGGGATGGTGGGGAAACGTATAATGCTGACCACATGTCTAAAGTTTCAGTGTTTACAAGAGATAAAGAAAGTGGGGGCTTTCAGTGACACAAAAGTTAATGGAAGAAATGCTGTTCTATAAATGATGGAAAGCAGAACCACAGAGCTGAGTGTGTCCTGCCCCTAATCTGCACTTCCCATCTAGGGCTATGTACAGAGAGCAGTGGCTTCCACCAGGGAAGACGCGAGAGATCATGCATGTTTGGTAAGACAGGCTTCACCTAATGGTGTTGGAAAGACATTGTCAAGAAGAAAACATTTGAATATAGCCCAGCTTACCTAGCATGCATGAAACCTTGGTTTTTACCACTAGTATTTTAGTCCAGATTCTATTGCTGTGACACCATGACCATGACAACTCTTATAAGAGAAATCATCTATGTGCGGTCTGCTCACAGTGTCAGAGGGTTAGTCCATTTCCATCATGGTAGGAAGCATAGTGGCATGCAGGCAGACATGGAGAAGGAGAAGTAGCTTCCAGGTAGCTGGAAGAGACAGACACTACATCCGGCTTGGGCTCCTGAAACTTCAAAACCCACTCCTAGTGACGCACTTCCTCCAACAAGGTCAGACTTCCTCAGCATTTCAAATAGTGCTACTCCCTGGTGACCAAGCATTCAAACCAATGAGCCTCTGAGCACCACTCTTATTCAGTTGTGAGCCTCTGAGCACCACTCTTATTCAGTTGTGAGCCTCTGAGCACCAGTCTTATTCAGTTGTGAGCCTCTGAGCACCACTCTTATTCAGTTGTGAGCCTCTGAGCACCACTCTTATTCAGTTGTGAGCCTCTGAGCACCACTCTTATTCAGTTGTGAGCCTCTGAGCACCACTCTTATTCAGTTGTGAGCCTCTGAGCACCACTCTTATTCAGTTGTGAGCCTCTGAGCACCACTCTTATTCAGTTGTGAGCCTCTGAGCACCACTCTTATTCAGTTGTGAGCCTCTGAGCACCACTCTTATTCAGTTGTGAGCCTCTGAGCACCACTCTTATTCAGTTGTGAGCCTCTGAGCACCACTCTTATTCAGTTGTGAGCCTCTGAGCACCACTCTTATTCAGTTGTGAGCCTCTGAGCACCAGTCTTATTCAGTTGTGAGCCTCTGAGCACCACTCTTATTCAGTTGTGAGCCTCTGAGCACCACTCTTATTCAGTTGTGAGCCTCTGAGCACCACTCTTATTCAGTTGTGAGCCTCTGAGCACCAGTCTTATTCAGTTGTGAGCCTCTGAGCACCACTCTTATTCAGTTGTGAGCCTCTGAGCACCACTCTTATTCAGTTGTGAGCCTCCGAGCACCACTCTTATTCAGTTGTGAGCCTCTGAGCACCACTCTTATTCAGTTGTGAGCCTCTGAGCACCACTCTTATTCAGTTGTGAGCCTCTGAGCACCACTCTTATTCAGTTGTGAGCCTCTGAGCACCACTCTTATTCAGTTGTGAGCCTCTGAGCACCACTCTTATTCAGTTGTGAGCCTCTGAGCACCACTCTTATTCAGTTGTGAGCCTCTGAGCACCACTCTTATTCAGTTGTGAGCCTCTGAGCACCACTCTTATTCAGTTGTGAGCCTCTGAGCACCACTCTTATTCAGTTGTGAGCCTCTGAGCACCACTCTTATTCAGTTGTGAGCCTCCTAGCACCAGTCTTATTCAGTTGTGAGCCTCTGAGCACCACTCTTATTCAGTTGTGAGCCTCCGAGCACCACTCTTATTCAGTTGTGAGCCTCCGAGCACCACTCTTATTCAGTTGTGAGCCTCCGAGCACCACTCTTATTCAGTTGTGAGCCTCTGAGCACCACTCTTATTCAGTTGTGAGCCTCTGAGCACCACTCTTATTCAGTTGTGAGCCTCTGAGCACCACTCTTATTCAGTTGTGAGCCTCTGAGCACCACTCTTATTCAGTTGTGAGCCTCTGAGCACCACTCTTATTCAGTTGTGAGCCTCTGAGCACCACTCTTATTCAGTTGTGAGCCTCTGAGCACCACTCTTATTCAGTTGTGAGCCTCTGAGCACCACTCTTATTCAGTTGTGAGCCTCTGAGCACCACTCTTATTCAGTTGTGAGCCTCTGAGCACCACTCTTATTCAGTTGTGAGCCTCTGAGCACCACTCTTATTCAGTTGTGAGCCTCTGAGCACCACTCTTATTCAGTTGTGAGCCTCTGAGCACCACTCTTATTCAGTTGTGAGCCTCTGAGCACCACTCTTATTCAGTTGTGAGCCTCTGAGCACCACTCTTATTCAGTTGTGAGCCTCTGAGCACCACTCTTATTCAGTTGTGAGCCTCTGAGCACCACTCTTATTCAGTTGTGAGCCTCTGAGCACCACTCTTATTCAGTTGTGAGCCTCTGAGCACCACTCTTATTCAGTTGTGAGCCTCCTGAGCACCACTCTTATTCAGTTGTGAGCCTCTGAGCACCACTCTTATTCAGTTGTGAGCCTCTGAGCACCACTCTTATTCAGTTGTGAGCCTCTGAGCACCACTCTTATTCAGTTGTGAGCCTCCTAGCACCACTCTTATTCAGTTGTGAGCCTCTGAGCACCAGTCTTATTCAGTTGTGAGCCTCTGAGCACCACTCTTATTCAGTTGTGAGCCTCTGAGCACCACTCTTATTCAGTTGTGAGCCTCCTAGCACCACTCTTATTCAGTTGTGAGCCTCTGAGCACCACTCTTATTCAGTTGTGAGCCTCTGAGCACCACTCTTATTCAGTTGTGAGCCTCTGAGCACCACTCTTATTCAGTTGTGAGCCTCTGAGCACCACTCTTATTCAGTTGTGAGCCTCTGAGCACCACTCTTATTCAGTTGTGAGCCTCTGAGCACCACTCTTATTCAGTTGTGAGCCTCTGAGCACCACTCTTATTCAGTTGTGAGCCTCTGAGCACCACTCTTATTCAGTTGTGAGCCTCTGAGCACCACTCTTATTCAGTTGTGAGCCTCTGAGCACCACTCTTATTCAGTTGTGAGCCTCTGAGCACCACTCTTATTCAGTTGTGAGCCTCTGAGCACCACTCTTATTCAGTTGTGAGCCTCTGAGCACCACTCTTATTCAGTTGTGAGCCTCCTAGCACCAGTCTTATTCAGTTGTGAGCCTCTGAGCACCACTCTTATTCAGTTGTGAGCCTCCGAGCACCACTCTTATTCAGTTGTGAGCCTCTGAGCACCACTCTTATTCAGTTGTGAGCCTCTGAGCACCACTCTTATTCAGTTGTGAGCCTCTGAGCACCACTCTTATTCAGTTGTGAGCCTCTGAGCACCACTCTTATTCAGTTGTGAGCCTCTGAGCACCACTCTTATTCAGTTGTGAGCCTCTGAGCACCACTCTTATTCAGTTGTGAGCCTCTGAGCACCACTCTTATTCAGTTGTGAGCCTCTGAGCACCACTCTTATTCAGTTGTGAGCCTCTGAGCACCACTCTTATTCAGTTGTGAGCCTCTGAGCACCACTCTTATTCAGTTGTGAGCCTCTGAGCACCACTCTTATTCAGTTGTGAGCCTCTGAGCACCACTCTTATTCAGTTGTGAGCCTCTGAGCACCACTCTTATTCAGTTGTGAGCCTCCTAGCACCAGTCTTATTCAGTTGTGAGCCTCTGAGCACCACTCTTATTCAGTTGTGAGCCTCCGAGCACCACTCTTATTCAGTTGTGAGCCTCTGAGCACCACTCTTATTCAGTTGTGAGCCTCTGAGCACCACTCTTATTCAGTTGTGAGCCTCTGAGCACCACTCTTATTCAGTTGTGAGCCTCTGAGCACCACTCTTATTCAGTTGTGAGCCTCTGAGCACCACTCTTATTCAGTTGTGAGCCTCCTAGCACCACTCTTATTCAGTTGTGAGCCTCTGAGCACCACTCTTATTCAGTTGTGAGCCTCTGAGCACCACTCTTATTCAGTTGTGAGCCTCTGAGCACCACTCTTATTCAGTTGTGAGCCTCTGAGCACCACTCTTATTCAGTTGTGAGCCTCTGAGCACCACTCTTATTCAGTTGTGAGCCTCTGAGCACCACTCTTATTCAGTTGTGAGCCTCTGAGCACCACTCTTATTCAGTTGTGAGCCTCTGAGCACCACTCTTATTCAGTTGTGAGCCTCTGAGCACCAGTCTTATTCAGTTGTGAGCCTCTGAGCACCACTCTTATTCAGTTGTGAGCCTCTGAGCACCACTCTTATTCAGTTGTGAGCCTCTGAGCACCACTCTTATTCAGTTGTGAGCCTCTGAGCACCACTCTTATTCAGTTGTGAGCCTCTGAGCACCACTCTTATTCAGTTGTGAGCCTCTGAGCACCACTCTTATTCAGTTGTGAGCCTCTGAGCACCACTCTTATTCAGTTGTGAGCCTCTGAGCACCACTCTTATTCAGTTGTGAGCCTCTGAGCACCACTCTTATTCAGTTGGTACGGCATAAAGCTGAGCATGGTGACACACGCCTATAATTCCACTCCTGGAGGGGGCGTGATGAAGGCGTGAGGATCACAAGTTAGAAGTGATTCTTGGGAAAATAGAGAATTGCAGGCCAGCGTGGGACACACAAAACCCTGTCAGAGGAGGAGGAGCAAGAGTAGGAGAGGAGGGAAAAGTGACAGGGAGGAGGGGCTGCAGGGGGAGGAGAGAGATGAGGAAGTAGAACAAGAAACTACTGAAACTTCTCTGTTCTATGCAGGGGGCTTATGAGGGTGGGCTTGCAGAGAGAGGCTCTAGGTGGAAGGAACCAGAAGGGACATAAAGTTACAAGATAGATATTTGAGTATAGAAAGGTGGGGAAGGCAAAGTACTATTTGTCTTCCTGACAGTGGTGTGATTATCAGTATGGGAGGCCTTGGCCCAACTGATTAGCTGCCTTGACATGAGTTATTTGGTGCCGCTGTGGCTGATCGTCCCCGACAGTGCATGGGATCTGTGCCCTTGTGGCAGAAGTGATGGGCAGGGTGGCTGCAGGGACTGGCATGCTATCTTCAAAGTGAAGCAGCAGTGTCAGAGCCTGTCCAGAGATTAGTTATTGTACATGAGGCAAAAGTCTACTCAGCCGTGGGATGTGCTGCCCAGCAGAGGCTGTGCCTGCCTCAAAATTCTTGCAGGTCCTAGCTGTTGTCATAAGGTTTAGCAGGACCAGAAGGGTCTTAAAAGCTGTCGGCTATTGCTTATCTCAGCTTTGGCTGGGAGGGAGGCGGGAGTAGGCAGAGAGGAAGGAATGAACCAGAGAGATAAAACCAAAGTCACAGTGCGGGTCCTCTGTGCTGGACAAGAATGGTTTGGTTGATAGCTTCTGTGTACCTCAGGACCATCCTGAAGATTCTAGAAAGGATTACAAATAGGTGTAAATGGACATTCTAATGGTCACAAGCACAACTTTCTCTTTCATTCGTCAAGGCTCCTCCTTCGGACCTTCGCAGTGTGGACACTTGCTTCTTCGCTGGATTATCATCCCCTGGGATCAGCATCTTTGCCCCAACCACTCTGGGGTTTCTGTATCTAGTAACGGCCTCTCGGAATCCTTGATGGAGAAGAGGCAGTTCATCGTTGGTGTGTCTGGAATGAAACACCTGACCGTATCTTCAAGCTTGTCCTTACTTCTTCCAGCTCAGCCAACAGGAAGCTCTGGTTTTGCAGTTACTCAGCGTCAATTTGCCATCGTGTTACCCTTTGACCTACATGAGTGCACCAGCAGGTTTTTAGCAGCCAGCAAGAGTTTGTAGCTAGCAGCAACCACTTCGTAGCATTACAATTGTCCTTACCGTAGCCCGAGCTACCAACATCTTCAATCTGGATTATCAAACTAATGTCCTAATTAGCATCTTGGTTGTGACTCTCTCCATCTCTAGTCAAATTCCCTTACTGCAGCTGAGGTGATGCATTTCAAACATTGAGTAACTTAGTTTTTCCTCTAAAAGTCTGGCCAAAGGCCCCCCCGCCCCCCGTCCCCCCCCCCCACCTTCATTTACGATTTCGTTTCACAGACTGACATCTTTAAGATTTTGGCGTGGCCCAATTGGATCTACAGCAAACTGAGTCTCTCTGGCTGTGCTCTTCTCTGCCCTCCCCATCTGTCCTGGGACAGATGTGCCACACCCTCCCCACCTCTGAGCCTCAGACAGATGTGCCACACCCTCCCCACCTCTGAGGCTTTGCACTTCTAGGCCTTGGGCCTGGAGGCTGTTCCTCCCGGTCTCTGCTTTGCCAGTTCCCTAACTCCAAAAGTATGTAACGTAACAGCTTTAATGTCACACTCCAAGATATCCTTGCACTGAACATTTCAACCCACCACAACTTCTTTAGTATTTTCTAAAAGAACATCTTTTCCTTTTAAATTATTTACAATACCTAATCACTTCTGACATATTGTCTTGAGTTATTCATATACTTATTGTATGTACTGCCTAATTTAATACAACCATAATGAGTGCACACAGGATTTAATGTCGGTATAGACCCCTATACAGTCCTCAGGGCACAGAACAGTGGCAGGGGCACACTATCACTTGGAAAGCATTCTTTTAATGAATGGATGAAGGAAGTAGACAGGCAAGACCAATCTTGATTCATAAAATCTAGAAATCAGTATTAGAAACTAAGGACTGAGGATCACAGCTTGTTGTAGCCTGTCTTTGTGGGACGTCCGTTGGATCCAGTCGATTTGCCCGGTTCATACCTGAGAGGGGGAGTGTGGAGGGAGAAGTGGCAGGTAAAGACACTAAGAAAAAGACAGGGACACAGGATAGAGTCAGAGGTAATCCAGTGAATACTGGGTGCCCCAAGTTTTTTCCTCACCATTCTTAAACACCCCAACCTAAAGGGGACATAGCAAAAGACTCCTTTATCATGTACAAGGAACAGACAGTCTTTCTTCCTTAACTCTCCAAACATTTGGTAGCCACACCTTACACTCAATTTCTCGTTATCTGGCCTTGAGGGTCAAGAGTAACCACACCTCAGACCAACTCTGTTGTTATTTAGATAAGACATCCTCTACCAAGATCAAAACATCCTTCAGTAGCCACACCTTAGACCTTTAGGTCTTATGACTTACCAAGGACAGTTTTGACCTTTCTGACCTTGAGCCAAGATGAAACAGAGCCATCTTCATGGGCCCCAGCCATGGCTCAATTGACTTCCTTCTTAGCATGTCCAAAGGCTCAGAACAGCAAGTTACTGAGAAAACAGTATCAGGAGAAGTATTGCAAGAAAATGGACCACAACCAAGCTGTATATTGTTTGAATAGCCAAGTCTGAGGTAAAGAAAGGAGGAAAATCACTTCCTTTTAGTACAGTTATTTGGCAATCCCTACCACCACCTTACTTCATGACCTATAAGAAAGTGAACCTCAAAAATAAATTAAAATTTCACTTACACTAGAGAAGTCCAGATATAATTGACTGAACTCATGGACTGTGGTAGTTTCAACGTAATTGACCCCCATAAGCTCATAGGGAGTGGCACTTTTAGGAAGTGTGGCCTTATTGAAGTAGTTGTGGCCTTGTTGGAGGAATTGTGGGGGTGAGCATTTAGGCTTTCTGTGCTTAAGTTATGCCTATCTAGTTCAGTTCAGTTCACTTACTGTTGCCCGGGGATCAAGATGTAGGACTCTGAGTTCCTACTCCAGCACACCTGTATGCTGTCATGTCCCACCAGGATGATACTAGACTCAATCTCTGAACTGCAAGTCACCCAGTTAAATGTTTTCCTTTATAAGAGTTGCTGTGGCCATGGTTTCTCTTCACAACAATAGAAATCCTAACAAAGATATGAACAATGCTACCACATGTTATTTTCAAAAGAAATTGCAGTCCAATATAATTTAGATCCCTAATGGTCTCACATGAAGACCTAAGAGTGGAAAACAGCATATAACATGCAGTGTAAATTTAAGATTCTCTTCTCTTTCCAAAGTATTATTTTTTAAATAAAGGCATAACTATTGTACAAATCCATCGTATGCATCAATTTTGATTTCAACTCATTAAAATGATGAAGATAGTTCAAGCAATAAGATAGTGCATATAGGATCATTGAAAATAAATTGCAGAAAAAAGATTGTTAATTACATGGAATGAATATTAGTTATCACAGGACAAGAAACCATTAGCTTTGGGGTTATCTTTTCTGCTTTCAGAAATAATGCAACTCTACTTAGAAAGAACTTCTCTCTCAGTGTTAGGTATCTAGGGATGCTATGACTAAATATCACAGAATGAGTGACTAGAGCAATAGAAATTATTTATTCTTCCATGGTTTTGAAGATTGGCAAAGTCCAAGACAGGTCTTTGGCTTGGTCAGCTTCTGATAAGGGCTCTCTTCCTACTTTCCAGATGAGGCTTTCTGTCTGGGTCCTTGCATGGAGCAGAGATAGAAAGCAAGCTCTCAAGTCTCAAGGGCACAGATCCCTTCACAGGGCCCTCCACCCTCATGTCCTCACAGGAACCTGGTTAACTCTTTCCTAACTGTGTCATTTCCAAGTGTCATCATATTGAAACTAAAGTATTCAACACCAGGGATTTGGGGGTGCAGGGAGGAGACAGTTCAATCCATAGCAATGGGCAAACACATCTTGACTGTCTTTTGCAGCTTAAAGGATGCACCTACATGGTCTAGTTAATCAGTAGCCCTGTGCAGTGCCTTGTGCCTCTAATGCCAGCACATGGGAGGCAGAGGTAAGCAGATCTCTGTGAGTTTGAGGCCAGCCAGGCCTATACGGTGAGTTCCAGGCTAGTCAGACCTATATGGTAAGACCCTGTCTCGAGAAAACAACAACAGCAATAATAATTTTTGGTTAGCCAGTTGGACAATTTCACATGCTTCTATATCCAGACAACCTTTAGATAAGCTCACTGTCCTAACATGACAGGGATGGCACACAGTATTCTTTATCTATCTATCTATCTATCTATCTATCTATCTATCTATCTATCTATCTTGGTGGAAGCTTCACCCCAGCCCCTGGCATACCTAAAGAGCCTGGGATGTTATGGTGGAAGTTCCACCCAAGCCCCCCTCCCCTCCAAACCCTGCTGCATCTCAGAAAGCCCAGCAAATGATGAGGCCTCCCCCAGAGATGCTCAAGACCTCCCAGAAAATAGATGTGTGCTTTTCTGGCCTCTCTTTCCTGTCTCCTCTCTGGGGGGGGGGGGGCTGGAAGGCCATCCGGGAGCCTTGTGTCCATTAAACATGGACTTTTTCTAATTCAGTTTGATTTGGTCTGATTTTGATTGATGCATTGGCAGAGAGGCTTACCAGGGTGCAAAACTTCACTATCTATCATTTTCTTTATTTTATGTGTATGCATGTATGTATGTCTAGGAGTATGTGCATCAAATGCATGCAGGTTCCTGAGGAGGCCAGAAGAAGGCATTAGATCTTCTGAAACTAGAGTTGCATCAGTTGTGAGCCTGCCTCCCCCAACCCCCAGTGTATGTGCTGAGAATTGAACCCGGGTCCTCTGAAAGAGCAGAAAGGGCACTTAACTGCTGAGCCACCTCTTCAGTCCAGGAAAAAATAATTAACATTATCTATTTGCTTCTATAAACTCACTCATGATTCACACTTACGAAGCCCCAAACATGTGGTTTGTGGGGGGTGCTATGTAATAAGAATATAAACTAAGCATACAGATACATAAGCCAGGTTCCTGGGACCTAGAAGGAAAATATACGGGTGAGGATTTGGGGACAATCTACCTCTGCTCTCTCTTCCTAGCAATTGCCACCCCTCCTCCAAACATGTCTTCTCTCCTAGCCACTCTAAGCAAATCTCCACCGCCATGGGTTTCCCAGCCCTCACTCAACTCTTCTGGCATTGTTCTTGGTCTGTGAGAATTCTTTTTAAATGATGCAAACACAGCAACTTCTCTGAATATCTTCTAGCTCTTGCTTCCTGTTACCTTTATGATGAGAAGTAAAGGGAGTCCCCTGGGAAACCCTGGAGTGAGGTAAGAAGACAAATACAAACATAGCCACCTTTTCTCATTAACTCTTGCTCTTTAAAAGCAAAACCCAAATGCTTCCTTACATGAAGGTAGCCGTGTCTGCTACTTGAGAGACTGCGGCAGGAAATTAACCCTTGAGTCCAGAAGTTTGAGGCCATCCTGGAAATTTTCACTTAACAGTATCCAAGAAACCTTCACTTAAAGAAATGAAAGTTGGTGCTTTGGGGAATTTCAGAAAACAAGGACAGAGGTGTTTGGGTTGAGGGGCATAAATAATGACAGGAACTTGTTTTTAGAAAAGTTATCAGAAACAGCAGTGTGTAGGAGATCACTTGTATCAGCAAAAGTCCTGAGGGTTATCTGCTTGCAGGATAGACTGAATTACTCTTACACCAGAACCATTGTCATCAGACCTCCTTTTTTAGACGCCGTGGGTGGCCACATGCATATTGCCAGATGTACTGCATTTTTATAGCTTACTGTAGATGCTGAGATACACTGTCCTTCATCATGTAGTATCATACCTACAGAGTCAGTGAGCATGGTTTTCTGGACAAAGAAATGTTGACTTCACCCAGAAGCTGTGGGAAATAAAAGACACACTGGACTTTGAGAGAAGGGGAAGGCCTTTGAAGGGGTAGAGTGGGAAAGCAAAGCAGGAATTGCTCCAGAATTCTCCTGTCTGTGAATCAGGATGCAAATTGGTATTCACACATACCGTTCAGAGCACTCTCTTCCATCCCTGGTGCCCTGAGCCGGGGCTGTAGGGACTGATGCCTGTTCCCTGATTGTCTTGTCTCTGGCCTTGCCAGGCTTCTGCAAACCTCGGGCTCCCCTGCGGAGGTCAGAGCTGTGTGGAAGAGAGGCTTTCCCGGGTGACTGAAAACAGAGCTTGTCAACCAGCAGGGAGACGAGAGCCAAGTGCTGGGTGAAGGTGGCAGATGAAAGGCTTGGGAGATGCTAATGTTATCCCCTCCAGAGGGTGACAAGTCAGGTGCGCAGGCTTTGTGCAGTGTGGCTGCAGAAGCCCCTGGATGCCGAGTAAGGACAAGAGCGTTCCCAATCCACAGGCTGCTGCAGTGGGCAGCCTTTCCAGCCAGGGAAGGAAAGGATCGCTTTGGGGTGTTGCCCAAGTGAATTCTGGGAACCCATGAAAGCAGCTGTGTATGGCATGGAAAACTGAGGGAACCAGACGTACTCAACAAAAGGCAAATGTTACAGAACATGCATTTTCTTTCCCTGCCTTTAAAGCATCCCATTTCTTCCTGCTCTGGCCTTCTTAGCACACTGTATTGCATGCAGAGTAGATACCCCACAAACCCCAGCATTCCCTTACTGCATAGCTGAGTAAAAGCAAAATTTTGTGCTCAGAATAGCGGGGGCCTGACGGATCAGAGTCTCAACAAAAGAGCAGGATATAAATTAATAGAACTTTTTAATAAACTAGGCGTTAGCCACTGGCTGGGCTTCTTAAAAGCTCCCCTATGAGCGACTAGTGAAAGCTGAGCCCAAAAGTCCCTAGGCTGTGTGGGCGTTTATTAATGTACTTGGGTTCAGAAGGGGCGAGAAGAAAGAGTCAAGTCAGAAATGACCATCAGAGGCAGAAGCGCCCGAGTAAGAGACACAAAACACCCAAGACAGAAAAGCGGGCTGTGTGTGTGGGGGGGAAGCTAGGCTTTAAATATGTCTGCATCTAAATCTACCTTCCTGTGTTATTACTTTTACCCTG